CATGTAGCTACTAATTTTTAAACTACCAATAAAGATACGAGCAAGGCCTCACCTTAATACCAAAAAAAAAAAAAAATTAAATTTTAATAGTGATACAGATGAAGAAATGTTTAGCAATATGGATAAAGATGAAATTCAAAAATTAAGTACTGATATGGACGAAGTGCAAGAATTGAGTACTGATATTGATGAAATGCAAAAAATAAGTACTGATGTGGATGAATTACAGGAAATAAATACTGATATAGATGAAGTACAAGAAATGAATACTGATATAGATGAAACGCAAGAAATAAATATGCAAATAATTTTTTTCAAAATTATTCTGAAACACAAATTACTAGTAATAAAATTATTATTATTGAGAATTCTGATAATGATAATGATTCTAGTAAATATCAACGTTATACTGCACAAGAAAAAGGAAAATGGTGAGCAGATTCTGATATTATTACTGTTGAAAATAGATCGGTATGAATTTTTTTTTAATAATTATAAAAAAAATAAATAATAATATATATAATATATATATTATATATATTATTAGTATTAATGATTGAACAATTGTTTAATAATTGGATCAGTCAATGATATTTATTGGGTAATTGTCCAATTGTTCAACTATCTAACACTGTATATTATAATTAATAGCAATGGGTACCATTAAGTAATATATCAAATACAACACGTCCAACATTTGAACAGCATAAGATAATTCGTCATTTAGCTATTTTAAATATTCAAAGAAATTGTGATCTTATTCAAACTAGAATGTAGAAAAAATATAAAACCAAATGTGATCGAATATTTAAGCCTGGTGAATTTGTAAAAATTCATATTCCACATATTGATAAGCAAAAAATGGACCATCGATCTTTACCCTGTAAGATCATTCAAAAGAAACCTAATCATGACTCCTATCAAGTTGCTTGCCAATTCAGAATGCTAGAAAACTGGTATTCTGCAAGTGAGCTTGAACCATTAGAAACTTCTAATTATTCTTTATTGGATGTAGTCCCCTTAAATAATATGATTTCATTGAGACAAGCTGGTATTAAGCAGAGATTATCCCAAACTTCAAAAAAAACAAAATATTAAAGGGCTTGAAGAAGTGAATTTATGTGTTACAAGGTAAATATTATAAATTTGTATGTATATATTTATATATGTAAATTTATTAAATAACATTTAATTTATACATAGTGAAATCCAACCATTTGAACAATCAGATGAAACAAATGAAGCGAACATTTTTCCTAATCAAGAAAAGACTGTTTCAATGAAAATAAATCAAAAAAATGTACCTAATTGTTGTCGTTGTTGAAAAACAAACTGTAACACTAAATCTTGTTCTTGTCGAAGAAATAATCTACTATGTACAAAACGATGCGGTTGCATTTTACATGGTGAATATAAAAATAGATAATTTTTTTATTTTTGCTTCGAATTTATGTAACAGAGCATTTATGATAAGGCTATAAGCATTTACAATATGGTTATAAGCATTTATGATAAGATTATAAGCATTTATAATAAGGTTATAAGATTGTAGCAATAATATGCATATATAAATTAATCTGCGTTTGTATGCCATATGGCATCTCACAGTGATGTCGGCAAGGTTTTTTAAAAAAAATAACTGTCATAAATTTTCATTGATTATGAAATAATGTAGGTTATTTTTAAATTTGTAAATGATATATGTTATTTTCAAAGCAACGTAAATTTAAAAATGACGAAGAACAGTTACATGGTAGAAATCAGCATTTTATTGTATGAACCAGTTATTACAAACAAAAAATGCAATTTGCTCTATATTAGTCGAGGATAATGCAGAAATTGATTATAATATTAAACTTTTAATTTTGGATGATCAGTTTTGGCAAAATCTTAAAAATCTTTGTGATTTTTTAGAAACTTTTGTTGGTTTTATTAATGAACTCGAAGGAGACATGCCACTTTTATCAATTGCATTTTTAAAACTACGACAGTTAGAAATGTCTGTACATAATAATACCTATGTTCCAAATATAATTATTGTAGAAAGTATACAACTTGTAGAACATCGTTGGAATGAATTTTTATATAACCCAGCAGTTATAGTAGCATATAAGCTAGATCCTCGATATTGTGGAGAAATTTTAGATTCAAAAAAATGGGATTCACCAATTGAAAAAGAATTAATGCGCCTTGCTGGACCAGAAAAAGAAAATCAGGTTTTAGAAGAGTTTACCAAATATTTAGGAAGAAGTGGTGGATTTTCAGCTAGTTATTTATGGGGTCCTATTAAAGAAAAACCATATAATTTGTGGAATTTAGTTAAGGCACGATATCCAGTATTAAGTGATATAGCATTAAAATTACTTTCAATACCTGTGACATCTGCTGCCAGTGAATGAAACTGATCAACATTTAGTTTCATTCATACTAAATTGCACAATCGTTTGCTCAACCCACGTGTAGATAAAATTGTATATATATATTGGAATCTCTGGGCTTTACGTTCACTAAAATGGCCACTTTCAATAAATGAATTAAAACAAAAAGGTTATTTGATCGAAAATAATATTAGTTTAGAATCAAATGGACTGGAGTTAATTGAAGATGATAATATTAATTTAGAGTCAACCGAAATAGAATTAATAGAAGAAAATAATTCAGATTTAGATTTATTTTCGTATGAATATGGTTTGTCTAATATGAATGAATAGAGCATTAATTAACATTCAGAATAGAATATTACTAGATCAAAAGCTATTAATTTTAGCTTCGCTGTTATACTTAATGTTACAAACGTTAAACTTTAGATCTTGATCTTGCAAAAAAAAAAAAAAACAACCAAAAAGGCAATTCTGTTGATAAATATATTATTCGAATCTTGTAACTATTTAGTTGGGCATAATGATAATAATTATTAAATAAAAATGCTGTATTTAAAATATATCGTAGGGTTGCCCAATGTAAATTTTACTGTAACTAACATAAATTACTTGTTATATACGTTATAAACTTCAATTAATGCTGGTAGAAAGTATCACATGATTTGGCCGGTTTTAGTGCATGAATTGTAACTTACATATGGGCCGTGTAAGTTATAGTAAATTACATCGTAACTTACACGTAAACTATGTTGTCAGGTAAGTTTTAACAACCCTATAATCACCAAATTTTTCTTTTCAGTCTGAAGTAGCGCCTGACTAAAATTAAGCCCCTGAAATTAGATCTTCATGCATGCATTAGATTTTAATTTTAGCCAGGGCGCTACTTTAGATATATAAAGTGGCTACTTTAGATAAATCGCTACTTCAGATGCGACAGTTATACTGGTCTAACCTCGATATAATGATTTGTAAAATGAAAATAGATTTTTTTTTTTATAATTTATGATTATATCAAGAATAACTATATCAAGGTTAGACTATAATAAAATTAATAAACTTTTAAATATTTGGTTTATTCTATTCTAAATAATTGTTATGCTACTATTTTTAAAATTCAATATTCAAATTTAAATAATTTTAATACAATTTTGGGCAAACGAATCCTTTTTTATTTACGGGGTCCATCTTTTTTGATTCATAAAAAGAGGCACATATTTTGATACTACCACCATATGACTTAATCCTTCTAACCCTAATAAAAAGGTGAGCCTTTTTTATAAATCGACCCTGTGAATCAAAAAGGACAAAATTACCTATTTGAGTTCCATCAATATAAATCAGGCAGATTGGCATTTTTTAAAAAAAATCCAATACCTTTCACAGCTCATATTTCACTAAATTTTGAAGCTATTTTAAGGATTCAATAGCCTAAAGAAAGCTTAAATCGAAGATTAACTTTTGAATATTAAATAAATAAACTGGCTTCAAAATTCATCGAGATATGGTCAGAGAAAGTTAAGTCATTGATTTTTTAAAAATGTCAATCTGCCTAATTTTTCTATTGACTACAACTCGTTTTTTTATGAATTAAAATGAGTGACGAAAAGGGAAAACCTGTAAATCATGTCACTCAATGAGTGAAATGATTTACAGGTCTTCCCTTTTCGTCACTCAAATAATACGTATTAAAAGTAATATTAAAATTATTTTAATTGATTACTTGAAATTAAATTATCTCAATTCAATCAAACTCATATATGCCTTTATAAACATATTTAACTTACTAATAATTGTTAGATCTTTTAATTTATATTGTTCATAATTTATTATTATAATAATGGATAATTTGAAAATTACTAAGCTTACAGACATTATTTTTTATTAAGTTTAACCAAATGTACCGGGCTGGTGAAAAGTAACTGAACAGAGACATTTTTTTAATCGCTGATATAGTATTGATTATCACTTAACGCTTATACTTAGTATTACGTAAATATAATAAATAAAGGTCACTGTTCAGTTACTTTTCACCAACCCGGTATATTCAACAATAAATAAATTTAGCATACGATATCACTAGTTATATAAAGCTGCATTTTTCTCTTTACATGTAATAATGTTTTTGTATCGCATTTGTCATTTAGGTGTATTGCTATAGTTGCCATCATTACTTTCCAAGTCATTATTTGCTGGAATTGTTATAATAGATTATGCTTGATCTGACACTATTCTTTACAATTAATCAACTTAAATTATATAAATTGCAGTACCAAAATTTGAAATTATGTAATAGAATATGATTGGTTAATTTTTAAATAATTAATTTTGACTAACTAAACTATCAAGAAATCTAAACCAGTCATATATAACTCAAATTTCAAATACTAATTCCATTATAGGAAATTCACAATTTTTAACAAAATTAATCACTAATATTTTTTTTAAAAAAACTTCTACAAAATTTATTTATCTAAGATGTGCCTTAAGATCAATTATATTTATACCATTGAAGTATATTTCGTGCATTGCATTCATGTTTCTAAAAAAATCTTTTTGTCAAAAAAGGATGTGAACTAACAATACATTTATACTATATTCTAGCTCAAAAATATGTATACAGTGCTTCATGGATTTATGTGAATTTTATTTTAATAAAGGAAAAATGTAAATTTTAACCTATATTTTCAGTACCCAAATATGTACACCCGTCAACAAACGAAATCTATAATAAAATAACATGGCTATCACCATTTAAATTTTACAATGAATCTTGATTACTCGTAAACTAGTAAAAAGATAAAATTACTATTTTATAAACAAATTATATTCGTTTAAGCTCTAATTCTAAGTTAACTAATAAATTTAATCATACCTGCTCAAATTCTTCAGGATGTGTAGACAACTCCTTTTGTACTATTTCCTTTCGTTGCAGAAGTCGGTGATTTCTCCGTGTTTTTGCACCTTCAAATACTTCAATCATTTGTGGTTGAACCGTTTTGACGTGTGGAACACGTGTTGGTATGTTTGAAAAATCGACGGCAACTAATTATATTATGGTTAAATATAGTTTATAGTTTTTCAAAATAGTAAATTATACGAAATAAACCTATTGTGAAGAACCCATCATTAGTGAAGAATCTTTCGCCTGTGAAGACATTTTCTGTGTAAAAAAGACATAAAATTGTTCAATATTAATATTCAATATTATTTAAGTTGACATAGTGTTCCGAAGTTCAAGTTAGGCTCAAGTTCAATTGAACCTGAACTGAACTTGAAATTTTGCAGATTTTTAAACTTGAACCTGAACTGAACCTTGAATTTATGAATCTGAACTAACCTGAACTTTAAATTTTTGTTCAGTTCAAGTTCAAAGTCATGAATATGTTTAAACTCAATAATCTATATACATTTTTATATGTAGAATAAAATTACTTGGAGCATACAAATAAGATTAATTAGTAAAATTCCGAGAATCATAATTTTATTAATAGAATTATGAAAAATGCTATAATTCTCAAAATGTTACTAATGAATTCTATTTTTATAATACAAGAAATTTTGTTCTAAATACAAAAATATATTAATTTGATATAATTTTTATCCAAAAAATCATCTTTTTCTTAAAATTTAAAATAAAATATACCATTCTAATGTATTTTTATGTATAAAATAAAATCACTTAAAGCAATTATAATAGGATTAAATAGTAAAATTCCGAGAATCATAATATTTTTCATAATTTTATCAATAAAATTATGAAAAATGCAATGATTTTCAAAACGTTACCAATTAATTCTATCTTCATGTTCAAAATAAATTTGTTTTGTATATAAAAATTTAAACTTGAACATGCTCATAAGTTTTTGAATTGGACCTGAACTAAACTTTAACTTGATTTAAAAGTTTGATATTGAACTTGAGCTTAACTTATATTTTAAAAATGGTCAAGTTCAGTTCAGCTTGAACTAAACTCGAATATGATCTAAAGTTCGGTTCGGGTTCACAGGAACATTAGACTTATATACACTTTAAACAATTACCAGCTTCCACAGACACATATATTTCCAAGCTTGAATGAAATGTACAAGAAACTATAGAACGTACTGTTACACCTACATGAATATAAAAATGATTTACAAAATTTTGAATATTAAATCACATAGGCCAAAATTAAGCAGAAATTCATACAGTCACCAACATAAGTTGGCCTAATGAATTGAAGAGAATCGATACTATAAAATATATATATAGATAAATATTGGATATAAATTTCAAAATGGAAACATGCAAAATGATAAATTACCTCGCTAATAATAAAAATCTCCTAGAATGCTTAAAAGCACTAACAAGGGCACATTGTTCCATCAATCTTATGATATGACCACCAAAGGTAATCTAATATAAATCATAATTAAAAAAATAATTTAGCATTAGTAATTAATACTAGATAAATTGTAGTACAGCATAAGAATGTAAATAAAAGTTGTACCTGTAATGTGTTGGCATGCTGTGGTAGTATAGTATCTGCTATTTCTGCAAAACTCTCATTCATCAATTTTTCATCAGGTTGTGTTGGAAGGATGCCTTGTAATGTTGATCTTCTTCTATGAAGATATAGTTTTGCGGGATCATTATCTAAATTATCATTCCGTTCTTCATAAGCATCAGGTTCTTGTAACAGAGGTGGTATCTCAGCACTACTCTTTGTTTCTATATTCATATGTTCTGCCCATTCATGCATTACTTCTCGTACTTTAGTTAATTTAGTTCGTTCTATTTGAGCATTTTTAGATTGAGATATACGAGTTTGACGACGTTGTTCGGCCAATTCATGTCGATGTGTTTCAATGGCAGTATTTGGTACAATTCGAGGTACAGTTACAGGCGAACTTTCAAACCTCATTGTCGCTGGAATCTTCGAATTTTTATGACTAAGAGCCACAAATGTTAAGTATGCTATTTGATCATTCAAAAATTATTAAAAGAATTTTAAAAGCGAGAACACATATAAATTAAAGTTATACCTTGACAACAATATTTTCGCTTTCCAGTTATTGGATGTTCCGTCTCTACACGTACACCAACCTAAATGAATATAAAAAGATAAAGAATAATCAATATTTTCGAATTAAGTTAAATCAATCATATCAGATATGAATCGCATCAAATTTACTACCTCCATTGAAGTATTCCATGATTTGTTAACACATGATACAATTATAACTAAATCACCAACTCTAATAGGATGCATAAAATGTACGGCATCAACACTTCTTGTAACCTATAGAAATTCAAATAAAAAAATCAAATACACAACAATAACTAAACCTAATGATCACTTAGAATAATTATAAATTAATACTTTACACATGGGTATACAGCGTGCCTTTTTGCGGACGTCCCAGCAGCTAAATCGACCCAACCAAAAACAACACCTCCGTAAACGAGGCCTCGAGAGTCTGCATGAGATGGTAATACAATATGTGTTGTTGTGAACCTATTTTATAAAGGGAAAGCTTAAAAATTGTAGTTTGTAATATAATTTGTAATATATATAAGCTTTAAATGTAGGCACAAACCTAGATAATTTAGCAGGTTTTTCATTCGGCACTTGTAGTTCTCGAACAGGTTGATTCTTATTATTTTGATTAAAAGGTAGAAGACTAGGTGCATGCCGCGCGAGTTTGAATAGCGCGAGAATGAATATAACCGTGAAAAAAATGTATAATATACAGTTAACCACAAGTATTGCCAGTAAAAAGTCATCAAATTTTAGGACTTCCGATCCAAAAAGCGAATTAATTGAGGAAACTATCCAAGTATTGAAACTTTCTGTAAACATTTTAGTGCAGTAACGAGTAAAAGGTAATATTATTTAAACTTCCTAAACGTAATGCTAATAATAACGCCAAAATGCCAAACTATGTACAGTACAACACAATCTGATCTGCATGTGTCATTGCGCGGTGCGGTGGGATTTACTTATTTCTGCAAGTGATACAAACCAAAAAAGGAAATAATTGTTATTTCGCTAAAAGTACGTAATATTTGACCAGCGTTAGGGCTAGGGTTAAAGGTTGGTATTAAAAAGGTCATATAGTAAAATTTGGCCAGTAATTTTTTTTATTAAAACATAAAATGTAATTTTCTAGGCAAAATTTTGAGTTATCAGCGATGTTTTGAAAAATCCTTCGAACTCACGTTACACGAAGATTGCGATCTACATAGAAAATTTTCCTTTTTGGGCTTGGCAGAAATAAGTGTACTATGTAAATCAAAACCATATGTGGTCATATAATAAATGGTTCCATAGACAGCGATGGGTAAGAATTTTTATAATAATCGTTACATACAAAATGCACAACTCTAACAGTTCGATAGTTTTGGATAAAATTTTGCAAATGCCAGTGTTATGCCTCTATAGAGCCATTTCTTTATGCACGATAAAAATTTTTAATATACTGTCATTTTTTTCTTAAAAAAAAAAAGACAAAAAGACAAAAATTCATTTAGTTTTTCTAAAGAAATGGCTCTATAGTTCGTTTGTAGAGACGTAACACTGGTCTTTGCAAAATTTATTTAAACTGTTAGAGCTGTACATCTATTTGAAATTTTTATAAAATTGTTACGTAGTTATCGCTCGTTATCTAAAAAATGACCATATATAGTTTGATCGCCGTGTCATGTGCAGTAGCCCTGCATAAATTATAAATTACGCTGGCTATTATTGCTGTTAGTTGATTTTTAGATTAAAGATGGCGGAATCAGTGCCGTTTATTCGATTTCCATCACGAAGATCCGTAGTGTTCGGTACTCATGCAATGGTAGCATGTAGGTTAGTAGGATAAGTAATGATACGAAATGTCTTTGCAAAGTCTGGATATAACGAACTGATGGTCTTAAGCAAAAAAAAAATCTCCTGATTTCTATCAGATCTTTAAGCAAATTATATTGCATTAATTGAAAATACTTCGTTATATATTGTTTTGTTTATGATTCACTATATCCAGAATTGACCGTAAAATACTATGAACGTTTTTAGCCACTATGAAAAGCTAAAATTTGATATTGTATCTCTGATTTAATGATTTGACATTATAAGCACTTTCATGCTAATGACATCTTTTATGCACACATAGTCAACCCTTAGCATGCCAAGCAGGTCTAGATATACTAAAAAAGGGCGGAAACGCTGCAGTAATTATTTGATATATATATTATATTTATATTTTCAGATATAACACCGAATGATTTAAAATTTTCTTTTTTTTGGTTAATTTTTCTATTGTGTGGGAATAGGATGCCGCTGTTGCTGTCGGTGTGTTTTAACAAAATTAAGGTTTTTATTTGATTTGAATATACAATAATGTTACCGTTTTTTGTTTTTTTTTATGAACTCAGCTGCCGCACTAAATGTGACTGGTATCATATTATCCATATTGTTACTCATTATTGCACCTTACTAGTTGTTTTATTCATGTTATGATTTAATATAATGCAATATGAATGAATCTATTTTCAAAGAACCAGGTTCAACGGGAATAGGTGGTGATTGTTTTTGTCTTTTTTATGATGCAAAGACTAAAAAAGTCAATGGATTGAATGGGTCTGGAAGGTATTATTAATTTATTAATTCGTTGTAAATAACTCGTTGGTGTGGTGTTCAAAAAAAAAGATAATAATAATATAATAATAATAATAATAATATAATTGTTTTCGAAACTTCTAAATTATAAACTTAAGATCTCCCGCTAAACTTACTTTAGAATATGCACGTAATGTTCTTGGAATTGTTGAAAATCGCATACCATTATTAAATATTAACTCTGTGACTGTCCCCGGAACTGCTGCGGGATGGGTTGACACCATTGATTGGTTTGGGAGTGGAAATTTTAAATTGGCTGAAATTTTACAGCCTGCAATTGATTTGGCTGAAAATGGATATCCAGTATCAGAAATAAGTGCTTGGATTGTATGTGATCTATTTAATAAACGAAGAAAAAAATTTTGAATTTTAAAATCAAATCTTAATATGAAATAAACAGTGGAAAGATTGCGAAAATGACCTCATTAATGCTTCAACAAACGGATGTGATATGCTGATTGACGGTCGTGCTCCAAGATGTGGAGAAATAATGAAAATGCCTAATTTGGCAAGGTAATTAATTCATTTTGTCAAAATTTAATTTACAAGTTTACATCTAAAATGCAAAGTTCATCATTAGAACTTTTCGAGAATTGGCGGAAAAAGGAAAAGATGGATTCTATAAAGGTAATAAATAAATATACAACATTTGATTTACTATATAAATATTTCAGAGTTAATTTAGTATTATGTTAAATTATAAGATCGAATTGCACAAGCTATTGTTGAGACTGTACAGTCTAGAGGAGGAGTTATGTCTTTAGATGATTTGGCTTCTCACACTTCTACCCGCATAGATCCTATTAGCATTAATTATAAAGATGTAACTATATGGGAATGTCCGCCCAATGGACAAGGTTTGTTCGATTTTATTAGTCTTGCCTACTATATATAATTGGTTTGACTTTTATCAATTTTATATCGCATTATATTTAAAGGTATCACAGCCCTTATGGCTCTTGGTATAATTAAGTCACTTCAAGAAAGTGGTAAAATAAGAGATCTTAGCGAAATGGTGCATAATTCAGCGGAGTATTTGCATGTCGTGATTGAAAGTTTACGATTAGCATTCGCGGATTCTACATATTATGTAACAGATCCTGACTATTATGATGTGACAAAAGAACTATTATCGAAGGTAAGTGTTGTGATTTTGATACATGAAAAAGATGGAATTTTAATATAATCATCATCCTCCATAATCACAGTCTGTTTCATACATAGCTAGTGATTATAAAAGAATTAAAATTTATCTTACATATAGTCACGTTAATAGAATAACGGTGTGACTTATTCGAAGTAACCATTTTGGATATCTGAGGTAGCAGCTGACTGGAATTAATGCCTAAAATTTAGATATTGTATTAATTTTTTTCAGTCTCTAGATATCTAAAGTAGCTACTTCAGATAAGTAGCTACACAAAACAACATAAATAGATATGCTTGAAATGTACAAAAATACTTACAATGAAAATGGCTACATATAAAAATCAGATTTTTACTGAGTAAATTTACTTTTACACATTATACATATATATTTTGAAATTTTATGCAATTTGAATGAATTTTTATTAATTTAATTTTGATTTTATGTCCTCATAAGAGTCAGTGAAAAGGCATGAAAATAGGCCATTTTTACTATTAAACTTTGCTATTTTGGAATCTGGAGTTTACCAAAAGATAACTTAGTTTTTTACTAAGTGAACATTTCTTTTACTACCAATAAAACTTGTAAAAAAAGAAAATTCCGACCATAATGGTCGTTAAACCATCAAAATTAACCAGTGGATCGTGTGATATTATCGTTTTAATTTTCGCAGTTATATGTGTTTTCTTTATTGTGTAAACATATAGCCGCGAAAATTAAAACGCTCATATCTTACAATTCACTGGGTCCATTTTAATGTTTTAATCACAATTATGACTGGAATTTTCTCCTCTACAACTTTTATTAGAAGCGGGAGAAATGTTCATTTAATAAAAAAAAACGAGTTATCAGGGAAACTCCAGATTCCAAAAATAGTAAAAAATATATAGTAAACATATTTCCACGATTTACTTTGATTTGGTCACTGGTTCTTATGCAGATCACGAATTAATTTAACATTTCAAGATATATATATTTCCTGTCTCAGGCAGCTGTAATGCATAAAGTTAATTTACTTGATACAATTGGACATTTAAATGTAGCAACTGTTTTCTTTGTGACTATATGGGTTTAGGTGCTGAGAAAAAGAACCAAATTAATAAAAAATAAGGTTTGCAAAAATAGATTTTTATAATATGAATCTATTTTATAAGAAAAGCAAGCTTTAAAAAACTATACTAAAAAATTTTATTAATACAACTGTATTTATTCCTTAGCCACTTCAAATTAATCTTTTGTCTAATTATAACATGAAAAATTTTCGTTAGAGTATGGTATAAAAAACAACGCTTAATAAAATACATTAATTCTATTATCTGTATGTATATATATATAATATAAAAAGTTAATGCAACGATTTGATTGGTCAGAATGATGTTTTTATGCAAAATTTTAAAAAATAGAGGGAGGTTTGTATTAAACAAAGAATTAATTTGGATTAGTTAAGCTTTAAAAAAAAATTACAGGAATTATTGAGTACCTAGCCCGTATTAAATGTATTTTTGCTGATCAAAAATGCGATAGCCAATTGTGGCTACATAAGTATAAAAAAATAAAAACAAAATTTTATTTTTTTATATAGAAGTTGTGATTATAGAGAAAGCACTGTAGAGAAGTACAACTGTACAGTGCAATAAAGACTTTAATATAATGATTTTATTATGATATGTTAATTTTAATATAGTATATAATAATTAAATAGGAATATCTTTCAAAACGTGCACAAAATTTTGACCCTACAAAAGCGAATGTTGATATTGACAAAGGGTCACCTGTACAATCAAGCGACACTGTTTACTTTTCTGTAGTTGATGAAGAAGGCAACGCGTGTAGTTTTATTGTAAGAAATTTTAATATTTCAACATTATTTTAGTACAATAATGAAATACTAATTACTCTAAAATTTAATAAAATAATTAGAATTCAAACTATCATGGATTTGGAACTGTAAGTTTTAATTATACATATTAAGCTAAATTTAATGATTAAATCAGTTATTTGTATATAGGCCGTAATTCCAAATGGTTGTGGCTTCACACTTCAGTCTCGTGGAAATGGATTTGTTTTAGAGAAAGGACATCCTAATTGCCTTGAACCATGTAAAAGACCCTATCATACTATTATACCAGCAATTGCTACCAGAGGTGATGAATTATGGCTATCTTTTGGTGGTATGTGATTCATTAATAGGAATTATTGCATTATTTTATCTTTCACTTATAAACATTTTTTATGACTAAAGTTATGGGAGCTTTTATGCAGGTAATTTATTATATATATTATATATTACTACTATTTATTAAAATTTATTAAAAAAAATTATAGCCACAAGGACACGTTCAAGTACTTTTAAATCTTCTTCATCACTCTTGTAATCCACAAACTGCTCTTGATTCGCCGCGAATCTTAATTGAACCCCCTAAAGCATCTTTGACTGATAAGTCTTCAATTTCATATATAAGTGTTGAAGATGGTATATCTGAGGATGTTATAAATAAATTGAGGCAATTGGGTCATCATGTTAAGGTAGTTAAAGGGTTTCAAAGATCAATATTTGGAAGGGGTCAAATTATTGAACAAAAGATCGATTCAAAAAGTGGCCTGAGAGTTTGGGCAGCTGGTAGTGATTTTAGAGGAGATGGACATGTAATTGGGTGGTGATTTATTTTAATTTTTAAATTGCAATTTTAAAACTACATACTTTATTACCAAATGTATGTAATACCAAAACAAAGTCTTGATATTTAAGATTATAACAATATGAATAATGCCTAACTTCGGTTTTATGGTTTATTATATATTCATTTGATCAAAAAATAGATATGACATGTAAGTAAATTTAACTACGTATAGCATATGAGTGCTACCAAGAATAAAAAGGTCCTCTGCAATTACTATTATTATTGAGTTCAGCAATGATGCAGATTGGGCTTTCAATAACGTTAATATAATAAGGTAGCTATGCGACGCAGTCACACTATAAATCAGGAACTTATGCATAAAAATGGTCCAAGTAACATAAATAGAGAATTGAATAGCATACTTCGAACATCTAATGGAACAATGAATTTAACCATTAATATAATAACAGGAACTTAATTATTTCTAGAGAAACTATTCATGTCTCAACTCAACTCTAAATTACAAAATCAAATTATTGATAGTAATAATAATCTTAACCATTTCAATAATACAGCTGACCTCTTTTTTGCTTAACTACAACAAGCATATTGATCAAAATTATTTCTTGGAAAATTAAATTAATAATTTGTTGAAATCATATGAAAATGAAGAAGTCAAACTTCACTTATATAAAATTATAAAAGATTTAGAAAATAATTTATCAGAAAAGATCTTTTCAATAATTGTTTCTGCTTAGATTAATAACACTATTTGGATCAAATATATTGTTACAGTGTTGCAACCTTTTTGGTATATTATAACCAAGTAACAAGGTACCTAGTATAATAATTGACTATTACAAATATATATAGAGTGGAGGTGTAGTAGTTTATTTTACTATACAGAAGACAAACAGTTTGAAATAATAACAGTATATAGATTAACTTTTTATTAACAACACATGTGATAACTTTTTTGTAAATTTATTGTACAAAAATTAACTAAAAAATCATTCATATAAAAATACTTATAACTATTTATTTTACTAAAATAATTGGTTTTAAATTCTTAATAAACTTATTTAGTTTACAATTATACATATATTTTGAAAATATTATGTTTATAAATTTTAAAATTATTGAAAAAACTGTACTAATAACCTTTGGTCTTCATTTTTAATAATTTAACATTTTTATAGTTTCAACTGTTATAACATGTTTTATACTTTAAAACAAAGTTGTACTACATACTTGTCTAACCAAAAAAAGTTTTAACTATCTACTATTGGTCAAACTACAGTTAAATTCATTTTTAATATTCTTGTAAAACTTTTTTTCTACTTTTTGTTCTTATTTTATCTTCTTTTTTTATATATATTTTGTATAATTATATTATTAATTTTTTTTAACTATAAGCAGTCATGCTAGTACTTTATTAAGATTTTGAAATTATATTTGTAACTATATAAATATTACTAATATCTAAATCTAGCATTATCCAACTACTTTAATAATACCTAAATGCAACCTGTTACATTACTTCAAGCAAAAATAAACTGCTTGTCTAACTAAAAGGTTTTCTCTTTTTTATAATAAACTCTAACATTATTTTTATTATTTTTTTTCAACTTACTTTTCTTTTTTTCTTATTCTTTTTTTCCTTTCTTTTATTTGTCTTTTCTCTTTTACTTAGTTTCTTCATCTTTTTTTCTCTTTCTCTTTTTATTTTATCTATTATTTTAATTTTTTTTCATATTTATTAATTTTTTTATATTATATTCTTTACACTTATTTGTAAAATATATCTTAGACTGTTATTACTATTATATTCGCAAACTATTATCTTGATTTTATATTTACAAATTATATTAATCTGTCTTGTATTTATTTTAGAATTAGGTCTTTAGTTAGTATTTTACACATTTTTATTTTTTTTATTTCTGTTTTTCTAAAAAGTATTATATATAATATATATAAAGAAATCTTCTTCTTTTAGCTTTTTCTGTTATTATAATGGTCATTTTTTGGATTTCCTTCTAAAGATTTCTTTATCTTTTACATATTGCCAGATGTTTTGTGTTTTTTTAATTTTATCTTGACATACTTGATATTCTATTGTTGTGTATATATCTAAGCTTCTTCAATTAGTTCTTTTAAGATTGAAAGTTTATCTATTATATACTTAATAAATATATTTTTTTGAAGTTACTTTTTCTTGTTATGCAATATATTCCCTTAGTTATTTTTAGTCTTTTTCAAAAATAAGTTTAATCATAAATTATAATTTTCATTTTTGATTTCAAAATTTTAATTACTTTTATTTTTTTTCATTCTGTTTCTAATTATACATTTGTTACTAACTTATAAAATAGTCTTGTTAATATATTAGTTTGTCTATTTTCTCATTCTAAACAATACTCTATTTCTTTACAACTGACTTTTTCAGCCTGTACTATCTTCTTGCTTGTTGTTTCTTTCTTTGCTAAACTATTAGCTTTATTATTTTATTTATTTTTACTATAACTTTTTATTTTAATTAACTTGGTCTAAATGTTTTTCATCTTGACAAGATCTTTAATCTTTATTATTCATATTGTATTCTTTTTTTTAATGATTTTATTTTTGTTTACTTATTTCAAGCTTCTGCTAATATTTTTTATTACAGTATTATAGTCTTTATATCTCTATTTATTTTTTTTTAGTATTATTAAAATTCTTGTTCAGATTGTTACCAACTTTGCTATCTTTGATGCTTGCCATCTTTTTAGTACAAGTGCTACCTCTTCTTTTAGCTATTCTTGTATTTTATTTATTTGAACTCATCTTATATTTATATTATTTATTAATACTAATTTTTTTACTGACTTTTATATTGGTTGTCACATTTGTGTATATCATATATTTGTTTTTGTTTCTTATTATATTTCTTTTTGAGATTTTTATTATTTCTTGATTAATATTTTCTTTCAGTTTCTGTCATTTAATAATCTCTATCTCTAGCTCTTCTATCATTGTAAGTTTTTTAAACTTTTACTCTTTAATTTCTAGTTTTCTATTTTTGTTTTTTTTATTATTTGATCTATTTCTATTTTAACTTGATTATTGTTCTTTTTTATTAATATATTTAATATTATGTTAATATTTCTGTATACTCTTATTTATTGTTGATAACTATTCTCTATCTGTTCTTTTTTACTTATACATCTATTTGTTATGCCTATTTAATTTAATTTATTTATTTTAATTATATGAAATATATATTAATTTTGATTACATGATTTAACTAATTCTTTATATTTTATATAATCAAAAATTCTTTTAATATTATTATTGTTGTATTCTGAAAGATAATTTTCTGTAAAACATCCAGCTTAGTCAATTGCTTTAATGCTAACTTTACTAAATATATTAAATATATTTTGTACTTATACATTATCTGATAAAGATTTCTTATTATTATTTAACAACTTATATAAGGTAACATTATGTTGTATATTTGTGTACAAACTGCTTTATCCTTTATACACTTACTAATTAATTTCTTTATTGATTCTCATAAACTTTAGTATAATTATATTATTTTATATTTCTATTAAATAAGTTAACTAAAATTTTATTTATTAATTTATAAACTTCAACTAAGCTATCTTTTGTTCTATTAGGAATAATTAAAATTTTGACAACTTTTATTATTTTTTTTGGTACTTTTAACCTATGTAGACTTTTTGATAATTCAATAAAAGTTTTAATACATTATTTGCAAACTTATTTTTCTAAATCAAAATTAATTTTTAATATATATTTCATAATATGAATATCATATAATACTGTATAATAAATTTTAATAATACTAATCTGCTCATCCGAATCAGATCACAAAATCATTACTCTCAATATATCTATAACTATTAACAATACAAAACCTACCAAACAACATACAAGGAAAAACTTTCTTTGGAAAAACTGTTCTAAAGAAAACCTTGAAAACTATTCAAACCAAACATCACAAAGCCTCACAACTTCAAACTAAAATATCAAATATTACTAATCAAAATGAACTTAATCTAGTTTGGAATAAAATACTCAAAGCACTCTCCAAAGCTGCTACTAAAAACATTTCTTATAAAAAAATCAAAACTATTCATGAAATCAAATCAGATAAACCACTCAAACATCATTCACTTTATTATAGATACAAACAAATACAATATCTTAAAAATCATTTGCAATCTCCAAATCTTTATAATCTTCTTCATGAATATAATACTAAATACCCTGATAACTTTATTATCCAATCTCAAACATCTGATAATCTCCAATTTACTATTAAACAAGAATTTATTCAAATTAAATTAGCACTTAACACTTATCACCAACAACAAACCCAAAAAGAAATTCAACAAAAAATTAAAGATCGAAACCAACTCTTTTTCTCACAACCAAAAAAATTCTTTAAAAATATTCTTGAAAAATACAATAGTATACACATTGATAGATTATTAAATCACAACATCTTATTAACAAAAGAAAATCAAATTAAGCAAGCTATCTACACTCATTTTTCTGAATACTTTAATGAAAAACCTTTCCAACAAATTCAAGCCAATTCTAAATATTATGAACTTTATCAATCCCATACTGAATTCGAATTACACTATTAAAACTTATTCAATGATATCTCTAATGAAGAATAGCAAAACATTATTCAAAATTTTCTTCTCCAAAAAGCTGCTGGATTTCTCGAAACCAACTATGAACACATTAAATATGTTGGCTTTTCTGGCTAAATCTCTCTCAAACTATTTATTAACTAATATTTTCAACTTCAAAAAATTCCATCTGATTGGAAAACACTAACATCTTCCTTATTCCAAAAAAATCTTTATAGGACTTCACACTTAATCAAGTTCACTCTATCTCAATTATAGAACCTATAAAAAAATGTTTTACAAAACTTTTCACACAAAGACTTGACAATATCATTAATACAAACAATCTTCTCTCTAATCTTAA